TGGCCATTACTAACTGCTGTAAAAATACTCCCGCAAAACAGATGACACCAAAATCATCACAAGGTAATCTGGTCTCAGAAGGAAATGGGTTTCCAGGCCAGATTTCTCAGTTGATACAAATCTGAAAACTTGAAGTCTACATTCTTCTCTACTTTCGCATTGCCAACTGCAGCAGCATAAAATAGCTGAACGCTGGCCAAGCAACATTGGGCAGTAACCAGCATCACAATATTATAATTAGTGGCAAGTTTTACATGGGTGGAAACAAAACAAGACATAAAAGCTCATGTAACAATGGAGACCAGCGTGAAACAAACAACTTCGGACCCCTGATATCCCAGCAACGCTCATGGTGTTTGATTCAGCACTGGACAAAGACATTGTAACACAAAACTAAGGTTTTCAGTTGCTCAGCATCAACCAGACGCCAACACTCACCTTCCTGGAGGTATAAGGTTGCGTTCTCCATGATTGAGGAGTGGGAAAGCAAGAGATTGTGGAGGACGGTGGAGGACGGTGGAGAACATTGGAGATCACTGAGCCATGCCTGTCTGTCTGAACTGATTGTTTCAGGTGTGTGAGGCTGTGAGTGATTTCACCTGTAGGTTTGGCTGTTAGCTCCTACTGGTGGATGATGGAACTACACCCAATGGATCACTTTCTCCAAGTATACTTGACCTCCTTGACATCTAACAAGCCTCCCCAGCAAATATGCCTTGAGGAACCAAAGAACAAGCTTCCTGAAGCTGGAAAAGCCAACAAAAGCGCTCCCGTCCAAACTCCAACTAACATCTAGCTCTGTTTTCAGATATGGACTGAGGCAACAGAACCCCAGCATGTAACAGCAGCATGTCTTTCATGTGGTTTTGCTCTTGTTTGCTGCGTTTGGTCTTATCGATCGTGTGCTGTGCAGGGTTCATGTGGTATAGTCAAAATGATACAAAAAAATGCACTCTTTTTTTCTGGCCACACAGATCTAGAGAAGCCTGCGGTGACATGAATTATTCAGCGGTTTCACAGAATTGTCCTGCATTTTAATAATGCATGAACCAATTTAAGAATATAGGTTTGGGTCGACTAAATGTGTTTTTGTGCAAAGGTGATCAAAACCTGGAACGTTCATTATGAGAACGAGTCTCTCCGACAGAATTAGCGATCGTGAGATACAAGATGCTGAAAAGATAAGCAAACGAACCTGTTGTTTAAATTAATTGAAGAGGTGAGAAATCGCAAGCCAGATCTACTCCAAATGCCGCTCTGAAGAGTCTACATGAATCCATAATTTGAAAAATAAGAAGAACAACAACAATAATAATAAATATTATTATATTTTATTTATTAAATAATACAAATATTTGCAATTGAGATAATTAAAACAATATTATTTTAATAAAATAAATAATTTGTGATTTAAATAATTATTTAACAATAATAATTATTATTATAAATAATTTGTGATATATGTACACACGCATCTTTGAGTAATTATTGTGTATTTTGTGTAAATCTGTGTACATTTTTGCTGTGATTAAATTGTTTATTAAATAATTAAACATTTTAATGTTTAATTATATTTAAATGTTTAATTCATATTTAAATTATGATATTATACATATGTTATATTTATTTAATAATTAAATAATTATTAATTTCTGTGATTTTTAAGTAAATATTGAGTAAATCTTGTGCAATTTCGTGTACATTTCTTTTGCTGTCATTACATTTGTTCAGTTGAAACTGAAAAACCTGTTTTCCAGTTAAAAACAAAAAGGTTAATTGTGACTTTATTTCTTGGAATTGCAACTTTGAACAATTGCAGTTTAGTTTCTCATGCTATCTCATGCTAATTTGTCTATCTCATAATGTGACTTTATTCATTATTTTAAACTTTGTCTGTATGTCAACAAAGCCTATGGCTTGATAATAAAGGCTTTGGGAGTTTATTCGAAATGTATTTGCATATGATAAATGCCAGTTAACATGAGCCTTAAAGCCCATAACTGACTATTGAGTACAGGACATAATGAAGGTTCAGACAATCTGAAGACACATCCCAGACAACTGAAAGAACGCAGACGGTTAATGTTTCCTAGGTTACAACTGAAGCCTCCATGTAAGTGAACTTTGCAGTCCAGTAAATAAGGTCATATCCCCCTGTCTCTGTCAATGAGTTACCGGCCTGTTACTCTTACAGACTTTCCATTGTATTAGCCTTCATCTCAAATATGCATTACACTAGTATGCTTCTTTTGCATGCATAGAAATGTATCCTACATCTGTCAAACTAGCAATTAGTGTTGACATAATGTTCAAATGACATAAGGTTAAAACTGGTCTATGCATGCAATAAAAGCACAAGTTCTGTTTTATTCTCAAAACAGAAGTACATTGTAGAGAATAACTTTATGCATTGACATCACTTAATAAATAGTATGCAAAATAACCTCACTCAATAATAAAAGCATGTGCATTCTATGCAGAACTGTTGATTTTCATATAAACACAGATGAAAAAAGGGGTTAATGAAAGCACAACATGCAGAATAATGTGTTACTGAAGGCAGTCAGAAACTCTCTCACCTCTCCACTGTTTGAACCGGATACTAAGAGCAACTTTCGTTCTTCAAACCTCCATCTAAACACCCGACAGCCAATAAACAACCTACATCCGCATGAATAAGGCTTAAAAATATCTTATAAAGACGGTAAAAATGCGTCCAACATGTATGTGTTGGGTCTGCACCGCTGCTGTAAATAATTCAAGAGTTTTCTTCTCTCTCTCTTCGCGTTTGGTTACCAGTTTGTAACCTGACTCCACCTTTTCGAAAAGTTTCGAACTTGAGTCCAAGGCTCTCGTTGAGTGGCGTTCTAATTGACCAATCACGCTCGGGTTCTGAATCCCAACGGGCCAATCAGAAGGCAGAGAGGCCCGTGCGTCCAGCCTTCCACATGGTTTCCCGTCATTATCCAAAGGCTGAAAATTTCCCAGAGAAAATTCTGTTGAACAATTGTTCAAGGGGGACTCTCGTAACTAGTCATTTGTTTTCTGTAAACATTGTTTCCGTGAGGATTACCTGTAATTTGAACTCTAATGTACCTGATAGTTTTATTATGCATGCATTTTTGTGCTTTGTTAACTTTGCATGAAAGCTGCGAGACAGATTGAACATCCAGTCATTGCTCTCCGGATGTCTTTGACCTGTTTTTTTCCGTTCATAAATGGAACACATTTAGAAACGTCCGGTGGCTGTAAATAAACACTAGAAAGTCTTACCATATAACATCCTCCTCAGTGACTGCTGACACAAACAGCCCTAACACCTGGTGATAATCTTGTACGTTAATAATACACAGGAATGATACTTATTCTAAATGTAATGACATTTTCTTTCTCTTTTTTTTTTAACACGAATGCATGACATTTCTCATCAATTTATTATTTTAATAATGCTTTTACTACTATTATCATTTGTAAGTTATTCAGACCTTTCACTAGGCTATGTGGTTTATATATGGAAGAATGCGGCGCGTAATTATGGGATGTTGGGATGGCGCCGCCCAGTGTTACAACATTGTATTGCTGCGTTTGGGACAAATTCCAGCAACATGGACAAATTCTCTTCAATTATAATTTTCTTAATATACTTTTTTTAATTTAATGCTTTTTAATTAATTAATTAAATCATTTTTTGTTTTAACATTTTTAATTAATTTAAGGGTCAATTAGACATAAGCAGCTACATAAAGGTCGGATAATCTGTGAACATGCATTTTTTTTTAGCACACATTTCTCATTTGAATATCATTTTGTTCCATTTTGGTTTGTCATCACATAATACATTACTAAAATAGCCAGATCCACTAATAATAATAATAATAAAAATAAAGTCTTGCAGATGTAAATGCAGACGTCAAATAGACGTCTCGGTGATGTACGTGTGCTATCAGGGAATAATAATAATAATATTAGGCCTAATAATAATAATAAACCATCGTCTTCGTATGATTATTGTTGATTCATCTAGAAGGAATCTAATGCAATGGTTTAAACTTTAAACAATCTATACTAATGTGATTATATATTCATTACAGAGAGTGCATTTAAAAAAAAATAACATTAGGCAAATTATCTTTGTTAGTTAACATGAAGTGTACTTAAATAAAACGGAAATTCTGAAACCCTACTAGCCATAATAAACAAAACCTTTGAATTTCCTTCCCTTTTCTGAGACATATTAACCGTTAGTCCACATGGTAATTATGCTACTGTCACTTTAAACCAGTTTCTGTTCTCTCTCTCTCTCTTTCTCTGTGTGTGTGTGTGTGAGTGTGTGTGAGTGTGTGTATGAGGAAACAAGCTTATAAATCATACAGAATGAGTCTTTTTGAGAAAGTAAAAATGCACAAAGTTTCCTGTAAGGGGTAGGTTTAGGGGTAGGGTTGGTGTAGGGCAATAGCACATACAGTTTGTACAGTATAAAAACCATTACGCCTATGGAGAGTCCCCATAAAACATGAAAACACAACATGTGTGTGCGTGTGCGTGTGTGTGTGCGTGTGCGTGTGCGTGTGCGTGTGTGTGTGTGTGTGAAGATAACGGGCCGCCGCTTGAGTTAGGAAGTCCGAGTCATTTTAGCGATTCGGTTTGTTCGAACGATTTGTTGCAACTTGCAACGACAATTTATACGTTTTCTGTAGATAAAGATATACACATTTAGTTAAATGAAACCACTTTATCAGTGCAATTGATTAATTTGTATAAACTAATATGTTTCTTCCTTTATATGTACTTGCGATATCTAAGTTGTTGCTCTGAGGTTCTGATATTTTTGTTCCAAATGCCATCATTTCGAATCGCGATTAAACTATTGTCACATATTGCGATATTTATTCTTTTTTATGTTTCCGACATATCGTACATGTTCTACATCCAAACACATCTGGCTACTGTCAAGTGATTCATAAGCGCTTTGCGAATCGACTCTATTGAATCGTTCAAAAGAACCGGCTGACACGAGCACAAGGACATCATCTGCTTTTTTTGCTCACTAACCTCAACTTCTTCACAGCGCGGCGCGTCTGCGCTTCTCACGGTAGACTTTAGCTCCATTTTAGACACATATTCATAGACATTTGTGTTTTTTGTTCTCGTTGTGCGTTTGTGAATAGCCTATATCACATGTATTACATGCTGAGCGATTAAGTGCGCAGGTTCATTTGAATCTATTCATTTGGCGATTTTGATTTCTATATTCGAGCCACATATGGACATACCGAGGGATAATGTCTGCTTGAAACCTCTCGACATGAGATGAAACCCAGAGGAGATGCTATATATACTGAATGAGGAAAAAGAAGAGGACGCACTATTTTGGCACATGAATTGGACACACATCACATGCGCGGAATATAAAGAGGCGAATAGACACACACTGGTTATGGTTTTTATGAGCCTTTCGTTTCAGGACTGCTCAGAATGCTTAAATGCATAATATAGGAATATAGGAGAGATAATGCAGGCATGCTGAATCATGTATTGTGCAGTTTTGTAACCATATTGTAAGGGAGGTGTTATAGTGAATATTATATACAGAGAAGGTTTCCTGTTATAGGCTATTTAAGCAGATGATGGTGGCACACTAAATCCATTAACACCCAAATGGCTGACATGGCATATATGCAGTATAGGATATAAAATAATCTCTGTTCTCTTGGCAGTAGGGTTCAACGTTGGAATCTGTTTGTTTGGCATAATTGGCTAATTTCTTAATTTAGAATACAAGAAAAGACAGGACACTTCAGAGACTGTAATCAGTAGCTATAGCACTTTTGCATTGTGCATCTCCATTGCTTTCCAGCCCCTAAGTGGCTTGTTATTATAGCAGTTATTGTAGTATTTCTAGTATTATGGACACCAATCACATGGATGAGGGTTCCTCCAGCAATGGCATGGAGATGGAGATCATGCCTGGCTATATGGAGTTCATCACCAGAGCTTATTCAGTCATGTTCAGTGCCTTTAGAGACTGTAAAGACTGCGGACTAGAGCTGTCCAGAAGAACCTTGCTGGATCATGCATACATATCCTGGACGGAGATCTTCATGTTCCTCATGTGCGCGGTCATGTTGACGAAGGTGCGCAGGGGACTGACCATGTACGTCTTTGAGGTGAATATACTGCAGAAGTCACTATCAATGCAAATGCAACTAGTGACAGTGTGGTATCAGTTATTTATATTGTGTACAATAAGTGTTCATTTTATTGAAACAATTCAAATTTCGGTATCGGCTATTGAAAAACCTAAAAAGTTGAAAAAAGGTCATTAGAGTAGCCTGTAAATGTATGAGTATCAAACACTAGGCCTCGAAAGCATCACTGGCTCCCTCAATGAATATTTGAAGCGTTTCAAAACATTGGACGTTGCATAACCATTTGTATATTAAAGGTCATTTGTGCATCTAGATGTTTCTGTACTAATACCCATACTTGGTGTTGTGTACAAGCAAACCACTCATTTAGACTCAAAAGTCTAGTTTTTAGCTCTTGTTGTTTCTGGACAGCAGTATAACAGAAGTCTTGACACTTGATGCAGAAAGTGCACAAGTCCTTACTTCAACTGTGAATGTAAAATGTGTTTGTGGTGTAGTTTATCCTCTGTTGAACCAGAAAGTCGTCAGGGGTTTTGTTCGCTGTTCACAGGCCAGTGAAATTCGTTTGAAAGCCACCATGCAAAGTTACAATGTGCGCAAGAGTTACTTTACATCGTTTTTTACTTTGCATTTTACCTTTTACATACAAAGATGGCTGTGCAAACAGGTCATATTACTATCAAGCTTCCTAGACATGAACTTTACCAAATTGCCTCATGTCTGGGATTATGATATCCCCACATTTTGCAGTTGATGCTTATTTTAGGCCTAGCTGATGTATGCAAATGTCAGTTTCACTTCCTGTCCTGAAACGTGTGGGGCGGAAACATAATTTTCATGTGCGTTTATGACTCTTGCTGGCTCAGCACATGCATGTGCTGCAATTCCCGGGATCAATACCACCATGATTCATGGGTGCTCTGCATTCATGTTTCCTCTGGCCTGCGGTTTATTCCCTCTTCTGTAAATTCTTTTCTCTCAACGCATTGAGAAACCCTGACAGATGGCATGGGGCAGCTGGCGTGATGTTTATACGGAAATATGTGACATGTCAGGACCTTGTCTGGTTTGTAATCCTTGAGTAAAAGACAGTGATGTCTTGGAAAAGAGTTGCAGCACTGTAGTTTGTGATTAACAACAGGCATGGCTTAAGCATTCGTCACTAACAGACCGTTAGTCACATATCAGTGTATCAGGCCTGAATAACTTTTGCTTCTTTGCTAATAATATCCCTCTCTATGAAAGAGGGTGTCCCCTTCTACACAACACAACCATACGATAAAACCATTGCTTGCTAACAGCATGCAAAAATCTATCAATCAATATGAACCAGATGGGCTTCTGGTGTACTGGTATACTGGCAAAAGGCTTCTTTAAGGAATAGTTCACCCAAATAGAACCTGTGTATTTTTTATTGCAAACTCATAGTATAGGTTTAAATGAGGAACAGATTATTTACTGATAATCTTGCTTGCCAGTTAAAGGGTTAGTTCACCCAAAAATGAAAATTAGGCTGCGTTTTACTCACCCCCGAGGCATCCTAGGTGTATATGACTTTCTTCTTTCAGACGAATCCAGTCGGAGTTATATTAAAAATTGTCCTTGATTTTTCAAGCTGTTTAATTCCACTCAGCGGGTGTTGCAGTGCTTCAGTCCAAAAGAACTGAAATAAAAATCACCCATCCATAAAAAAAGTCTCTCACACGGCTCCAGGGTGGTGAACAAAGGCCTCCTGTAGCGAATCGATGCGTTTTTGTAAGAAAAATATCCATATTCAAAACGTAATAATCACTTTAATGTAGCTTGCGCCA